CGGCAACGAGATTATGTAGACCAAGGTCGTCAACGCATTCACAGCTTTTGAATCTTTTATCCAATGCGAATGTGGATTCAAGGAGGGCATTTGTGTTGATGACCAGAGAAGCAACATCGGGAGAAGTCAAGACGTTTGCAAGACTTTGCAGGAGCAGATAGACAGAGTCCTTAGCGAAGCGGTGCTTGTAAACAATGTCGACATCCGAAGAGGATAGTAAAACATAATCCTGTTTCAATTTGAGGGCGAGATTGAAAATGGTGACAAGTTGACCACGGAGCCTTGAATCGGCGTAGACGACGCCGCTCGTTGTGAAGGGCTCTTGGCGCTTTCGGATCTTCTTCATCCTGCTGCGGATACAGGCGCGTTGAGTTTCGCTGGGCTCGAAACCTTCTTTGCAACGGTGTACGACACACGAGCGGTTGGTACACTGAACCTCCAGTGCGTTGGAGAGCTGGCTACAATCCTTACCGAAGGGCTGCGGCTCGCCCGCAAACGGGTGGGCGGACATACAGCCTCCGCCTAGATCTGCCGCTCAGTGCTCATGAAAGATAGAGAGAATGTGTGACTGACAACTATCTAGGCTGTTGTCGATATTGACTGCATTCAAAGTCGAGGGTGCCTTCGCGTCCTGGTATGCCACATACAGTTTCACTAGCCTTGCAGGTCGCATTCGCTTGAGCCAGGGTGGTAATACGCTCCTTCCTCTTCACACGAGGAAGAGAAGAAGGAACGATGGCGCAAGTCTGTCAGCGTTCGTGTAGAATTAGAGGCAAATTATGAAAAAATGTATGAGCATACATTCAATAGGCGTAGAAGAGGAAGTTCGAGTTTATATCAGCTGCATATTCAAGCTGGTACCAAAACTGACCTCGCTGCAAACGCCGTTGCACATCGTCTTCGGGGGAGAACAGACGCATACATCGCCTTCTCTGGTGAAATTATCCTCGCAAGACCAATGACAAGGATCATCTGTGGTACAGGTACGCCGAGCGTGGGGCGGCGGGGCTGAGCATTGTCGTGAATCCGGGGAATTGATGATATCTAGTAAGAGATCTATGACGGTATTTATTCCGAGTTCTTTAACGAGCGTTTGAATGTCATTATTGGATCTGAGATAAAGATCAAGGTCCTAGAGCATGCATTAGCATGGAATACGAGAATCGAGCGCGCATACCTTAAGACAAAGACAGGTATCGGAGAGGGCAGATGCGAGGGAAGGCGCGTTGTCGGCAGTCTTGAGAGAAGTGTTTGCGTTCAAGGCAATACATGTATCTATTATAGCACGGGGAGCGTGATACTGCAGACGAGCGAGAGTCTGAGTACTAGTAGAAGCGTTGGGTTTGTGGTAGGAGTGAATCGCGAAGACGGAAGGAATGATCGAGAGAAGAAAAGGACGCATGATGAGGGAAGGAAGGACGAAGAGAGCGGGAGAAAGACAGGGTATATATATGCGAATGGGAGGCGGAGTTTCGATCAAGGATGTACATATATGCGTTAAGGCGGATCAGGCGTTATGCCATCGACGAGCGCGCCTTCCACTTCCTCGTCGCTGCTGCCTTCACCGTTCCCTTCAACCCCGTTCTCCATCCCAATATCCCCTTGCCGGCCAACCCGCGGATCCCACGTCAGCTCTTCAGGCTCTTCCACTTCCACCTCCACCCGTGGCTTCCAGTCGAATTTATCCCGAAGCAGAAGCACCGCTCTCACCGCTCGCTCAGCACGCTTATCATGCGCAGAGCGTATTTCCTCGCATTCACGCAACACGTCCTCGTATTCGGGCTTTTTGGGTGCTGAAGTTGCAAAGGCGCTTCGTTGGTTTGCAGTTGGCGCAGGTCCAAGGACGCCGATCGACCCACGCGTCGTCATGTGTTCGGCGAGGCGTCGCACGGTCTCGTGTTCCATACGCAAAACGTCTGTCGTTTGCTGATTCCGCAGCAAGGGAATGACTTCCGTGTCCAGCTGAACATCAGATAGAGCATCATTTGGATGCAGTGCAATTTTCTCATACGGGTTCATCTGGCTTCCAGTTCGCCTAGCGTGGGCGCCGTTGACGTTGGCTGAAGGAAGTGGGGATACGAGGGACGTCGAGAAACTGTGGGTTTGCGACAGCAAAATGTTGTATTTTGACAAGATGTCAGGCCATTGAGGCATTGCGCCGTAGTGCGCAGCAACATCAAGGGTCTGCTGGAGATTTTGTATGGACTCGATTATCTGGTTTGCCTTGAATTTGAGAGATTCGAGCTGCGAAACGGGCAGCGAGGACAAGACGGACGGAAAGTTGAGCGTGGGTTCCATCATGTCTAGGATTCCAAACACGTCGCAACAAACCTGTCTCATTATTAGACTACCATGTTCTTACTCTTTGCTGCCAACGTTCGTCTCGCTAGGCCTGTCTTCACCATCGCATGCTCAAATCCAGTGACGCGCTCGTTCATTACTTCTTCACGCGTCGCGGATGCCAAACCCAAGACGGCGGGTCTAGAACAGGAAATTACCACTGAGAAAAAGCCTAAACGCGGGAGGCCTGAAAAGGTGGACAAACCAAAGAAGAGTAAGGACAAACCAAAGAAGAGTAAGCCTTTCTCCATCCAAGACACACAAAGTATACTCACACGACTTGTAGTTGTCATTACCGAAGATATGAAACCACCTCAAAAACCCCACCACGCATATGTGAGATTCGTGAAGGAATATGTTGGAAAACATCCCAAGGCTTCTTCAGGAGCGGAAACAGTAGCTCTGATAAAAGCATGTGCTGCCGAGTGGAAAACACTCTCGGACGCTGCGAGAGCGGTACGCTTTTATCTCGCACGTCCGAATACGAACGTTGAGCATGTCCATAGACATATGCAGAAGGTTATAGTCAAGAGCTCGAGGAATATCGTAAGAAGAGAGCAGCATGGGTTGAAAGCATAAGCCCTGAGATGGCGAAGACGATTAATGGAGCTAGAAAGGCAGCCGGCAAGCCATCGATTTCCTTCAAGATGTCCGGTAAACCAAAAACTCCATACATTCGGTGTGTGCAGTACATTTAACGTAGCTTGCCCACTGACAACAGTGTTCTTGCAGATTCTATGTACAGCTCCAACAGAATGATGACATGAAATCCATCGCCACACCCGAGAGGGCGCGTCGTGCTGGGGAGATTTGGAGATCGATGCCGCAAGATGAAAAACAAGTATGCATTTGGTTACCTACTGGTTCTGCGTTCGCTGATTGACGTCATTAGAAATATATCGATAGTTATACGCGTGACAGGGTTGAATGGCTTGCACGCAAGGCTTCTGTCAAAGCTTAATCGTTCTTTCTCCGTTTCTCAGCTTTGTAACTAAATCCAATTTAAAAAACAAAACATTGGCCTAATTTATACCCTAATAACATGGTGCATCTTTCAATGCATCTGTGCATTTTTCAACCGTCTCCCAAGCATCATTCTCATCTTCATCTAATGACATTCCCTCTGCCAACATCAATAGCGTCGAGAAAAGTGTATACCACAACCTTTTGGTCTTTTGACGCGGAAACAAAATCAACGGTCCTCCCCCGGCTCCTGCATACCCTTCTAATACCGCCTCGCTCGGACCAGGAGGGGTGAACATCGCCTCGATCAATGGGTCTCCCCACAGTGCGTGTGCAAGACTCGGCAAGATGCACGCAATCTCAGGCTCCGGAAGTGGTGGTATCCGCGGCGGCAGCCCATCCAGATCCGTCGGTGTTTGAGAAGACGTACAGAGAGTGACGAACACGTCGTCTGCAGACCCTGTAAGAGTAACGAGGGACGGAACCTCCACGTCTTCGAACAAGTAAAAGCTTATCGCGCGCGCGAGGTACCGATGAATATCTTGGGACGGGAGTACGCGTTTCTCGCCTTTGTCTTCCAGCCTCAGCTTGCTTATCCCATCTCCATTAATAATGTGCCCGTCGGACGCAAGAGCTTTCCCCTTCTCGAGACGTTCTTCAACCCTGCTCAAGATATCTTCGAAGAGAGCAACGAACGTTTCTTGCCAGCTGTAGGCTCCGTCTCCTCCCGGCGGGGGTGAAGCCATAGTAAGGAACGACGGTAACTTCATACCGTTGGGTGCAAGAGCGGGATCGTTTACCTGCCCCGGCGACTGGGGAATTCCAAACCAGTCGTTCTGGACGTTGACATGCAGTTGACCTAGGTATTGACCTATCCGTAGATCAAACCGCGCATCCTCCGTGGAAGAAAGTAGATTCTGTCGACGGGCTTCAGACAGGGAGAGTAAGACCCGATCTTGCGGTATGGGCAATGGCGAGGAAACCAGGTAGTGATAAGGAACGATGCGAAGAGAAGTGTCTAGGGTATTCTTTGGAATGGGCACATCCGTACCATCTTGTATGAGTTTTCCGAGAGAATAGACGGTCGAAAGCGAGTTTGCCCTTGCAAGTGTGTTCAAGTGGTCTCCCTCCCCTCGACTTTCCTGATATGCGCCATCACCGTCTAAGTCATCGGTCTTCTCCTCGGGCGTCGACAACGTAAGAAAGCACACGATGCGCTGGGTGGTGGTAGATGGCAAAACGTCTATCAAATACACCCCTGACTTTGGGTGGCTGAGCCGTTGGGTGAACAGGCATAGATAACCAGATCTAATCAGTCTGCGTACCGGTGATAAGCTCCCAAGATGGGTTCAAGTCGAACATCCGAGTTGTGATGCTCAGGAAAGTGGTGGTGGATGATATTGGCGGCCTGTTCGCGCGATATAGAGACAGGCGGCGGTTTGCTGGGTCGAACAGAGTCATGGATGGGGGTCATCGGGGACGAACCATGAATCAGGCCTGCTCCATTGCTTTTAGCGCCCACAGGGCTACGTCCGAATGTCCGAACACTGAATTGAGTGGTGCTAGCATTCAATTGTTCGCCGCCCCCGAGGCTTGGTCAATTTTCTCTGCGAGTTGAAAATTTTTCATACGCGGAGGCCGGAAGCATAGTGAATGAAACTCGGAGGCCATCGGAAAAATTAGATGTCGGAACAAAATGCCCGTTGGCCGGATTGAACGACCGACCTTACCATTACGAGTGGCACGCTCTACCACTGAGCTAAACGGGCTGTACTATGTTCGGGTCCCTCGTAATACACAATTCTCCTGTGGCTCGATGTGTTGGCTACCCAACGTACATCACTTAGGTGTAATGCGAAAAACCTTGACAGGATCATCCCCGTCCACGACAACTGTTTCGACAAAAGGTACGTGCTGATAATGTAACTCCATCTCGTCAATCGCAAGGTCGACATCTATCACGGCATATTAAATCAGTTATGGGTCTCAGGTTCTCGGCATGCTTACCTTTCACGCTACTTATGAAGAGGGCCAGTGTGTCGACGTTCCTTACGGTGAGAGCGATAAGTGCCATCTTTGGATTCTTTACGGCTTCAGTGATAAGGCATAGTTTGAGCATGCCAACAAGGGATGGAACAAGTGATGGATCGAACACCTCGTTGCGAGCATTAGCATGAAAAACTCAACGTTAGTATAGAGCATACGACGTCAGCACCGATAACAATATCCGCATTACTCTCTGCCAAGAATGTTTGACAAGTAATGGAGAGAGGCTTTTCCAAGGACATTGCCCAATCGACTATCCTATATTGCACGCAGGAATGTAAACTGGAGAGGTCTTATGCGCCTGAAATCAGTCTTAGAGCTTTGTGGTAGTGCGTGCACCTAACTGCAAGCAAGTGACACGTTTCTGCGGCAGCGTGAAAGGACCTGCTCATCCACATCTGTCAAAAATAGGGATGACCCAGGCAGCATGTCACGGTGCTGTATTGCGGCAACTACTATGCCTAAGAATCCGACACCAGAACCAAGCTCGAGTACGCTCTTAGCCTGGACTAGTTCTTGTTATAAATCAGGTGCCCCGTCTTAAATTGGCGAAGAGCCTAATACTTACCCGGATTGCTTAGCAGGTGGTCAGCCAGTATAAAACTTGCCTTCCATGTACGTAACCCTGTCGTGCCACCTTCTATGGTCGTGCGAGATTCGAATAGAGTTAGCCGTAGCACGCTTTCGATGTCTACGCCGTCATCCGAGTTCTTGGACGGTGTTCCGTAATATGTGATATATGACTCGGAAGGCGGTACATTGGCAAATGAAAGGAATTGGTCATGCGGTTCTTGTGTGGTAGTTCTGTATGTATGGCTATGAGTTGCTTGCAAATCACATTAGTGACTGACTGACAGGTAATGGTCATAGAAGCGAGAATCAATTTCTTCATCCTGTCCGACGATTAAAACAAGTTTTACTCTAGCTGCATTTTCACAGACCTCGGTCAGAAGGTCTTCCATGATCTGGATTGCCCACTTCCAGAATGGTTTCTGATATTGCCTAGATGGGGGATATTGATGCAGATGAGGACTTAATAGAAGGATAGATAGGAAAAAATCGTGGATATCTGTAAACGAATAATGGGATGGAACGCATAGTGACTTTGGAGGAGCAAGCGATGAGTAGCCCCTAAGGATTTTGAAAAGCGCGATGTCGATTGGAGTCATGCACGTTCGGTATTTGCCGATATGATCAGCCGTGCATAATAATGCTAAAATTTCAAGTTCATACTTAGTAGTCTCGGGGTCAGTACCGGTCAGTACTTAGCGGCCTGGCGGGAAGCATCGGTGAGTGAAGTTTCATAGGCAGTACCCGCAGGATGCCACAGCCCGTCTGAAATGAATTTGGCTGGACGGCGCGTGGGTCAGGTTGGGCGCCGATGCATGACGCGTAAACTTGTCGCGTTCGACCTCTTCACATGGAACCCAAATATCCGTTTTCCCCTTAAAGTAACAGATAGGACTGACATTGGTCATAATCTACATTGCGGCGCTCACATGCACGATGATGTGTATCTATGTCCTCAGCGTCATGGATGAAGTAAACGAGCAATTTTTGCTTCTACTTCGGGCGTAGAGAGGTCGTCGAGTTCCACGTGTTTCTCGACGCCACGTTCTGTCGGAATAACGGACATGAGGCAAGAAGAACAGACAGTCCTCGTGCAGGACGCACCGAATCTGGCAAAGGCTCGAGCAGGTGTACCAGTTGCTTCACGTATCAAGACAGGGAGGTCGGGGTTGTGTTGTTTGATGAGAGGATAGTGGGCAAGGATGAATTGTCTACAAAGCAACGGAGTAAGCAGGGTAGGAGAAGAGAGAAGAATTACGAACCTTGTGCCAGCAGAGGCTGTACCTGACTGCGAGCACAAAATGCGAATCTCGCGCAGAGCTGGTGAAAAAGCTCTTGCGAACGACATATTTAATCTGACCCTTATTGTTGTTCAACTAGTAACCGCCCCGTTCCGACTTCTTGCTCTGCTGACGTAATCAATTACCCACAATTTCCTTGTCAACAACTCACACCCACGCTCTGCTCAACCCCCCGTCGTCTGAGTCGTCTCTGACGGCCAGGCTCCTTGTTGAACTCAATCACAATGGCGACGGACGACCAAAGACAGCAAGAGGAATGGGCGAATAGCCGCAAGAATAGGCTGCCCTCATTTACAGAAGTCCTTTCCAGGCGAACAAGACCTCCCGTGGATCTTTTCATGTTTTAGTGCGTACACCTCCTCGCCAGCTTTGAATTCTACTCACCGATCTTTCAGTCTGTTTCTCCAACGTGAAGGCGCGGAAGATATCCTTGATTTCTGGCTAGATGTTCAGCAACACGAGAACCTCTGTCGTGCCTACTTTAAAGACGTCCGCAAGTCCGGTCGCACCATCAAAGAAGACTGGCCGCAGTACTGGGAATACGCCCGTCGAAGAGGCTCGATATATGGTACCGTCGTTGGCATAAATCCCGAGACAAAGCGTAGTACAGCGAGCACGGGGGAAATGCTTACGGAAAGTGAAAAGAAGCATCTAGCCGCCATTGGAGCAAGCGAAGGGGCAAGATCGACAAGTCCTCGCCCACCAGAACACCATAATCCGCGCGCTACTCCTGCATCGCCTCAGGAAGACAGTTCACAGCAACCACGCAACTCAACTCCCTTCTCTTTTTCCCGCAGAACACCTACATTATTTACTAGACGCGCCTCCCGTGCACCCACGATCATTCCTCGCTCCTCCGCCATCACCCGTATGGATCTTATTGCGTCCGCAGAACGCATATTCTATCGATACCTCTCCCCTTCTGGCAATACCGTGAATTCTCAGGAGAACCACGAAATATACCTCCCTCCTTCCCTTCGCATCCATAGTTTCCCCTTGAATAGCGCTGCAGAGCCAAAGAGTCAGACTGAACTAAACGTGTTGGCTCAGGTACCTGACATGTTTCACGCTCAAAAGGAGTATTGTTTCAAGGCAATGGAGCAAGACGCCTTTCCCAGATTCTTGCGCTCAAAGGCATTTGGAAATTTGACGCCCATTTCGGCTCTTGTTCGGCTCATAGCTGGCCTCATTATTTTGTGGATTGGACTAGCTGCTGCATTCTCCCTCGTTTTTCTGGATGTACATCCCAAGTCAAAGCGATTCCTTGTAAGCAAATTTGCCTGAAACGTAATGCTCTTATTGAAATTTTTTATTGGTTCCAGTTATACATTCCCTTTACGCTTGCCATCTTGTTCCTCATCTCGCATCAATATGAACTAGACCCAATTCTCGTCTTCCTTGGCCAGTCCGAGACAACGCCCTTCCGAACCCTTACAGTACGCGAACCATACGTTCGTAAACTTTTATTGGGTCGTGCTATCTGGGTCAGTATATTGGTGGCGGCGTTCTCAACAGCCCTTACCCTGTTATTCTGGGCGGTTCCAGGCCACAGGTTATAGCCTCGGCAGACCTCGTTGGTTCTGGGAAATACTTAATTGTGGAACCTCGTACGTACCACAAAACCAGTGAATATTTACGGATCTGGACTTTGTTGGGACTCGAGAGAGGCAAGGGGGTGGAATGGTAATGTATTCTGTGGAATCTTTTTGTGTGCTCTTTGTGGCTCGTATATTCAACTCTTATGACCATTTATGATGACTTTCCGCTTATAGGCATTCGTAATTTCTTGGTTGATTATTGACCAAACCCTTTCCATATCCTTGTGTCCTCGTGTTGTTTTGTTTCTTTTTTTTCCTAATTCGACTAGGATACCCGTCACTACAATACATATCCGCCGGCGCATAACAATTTTCAACACTTTTTTTCGTGCGCATCGTTAACTTCGTCGGGGTACGATCGTTCACAAAGAGGGATTGTCCGAGATACCGTATGTTTATTATGCTTATTCGAACAATACATATGCTTATGATCAAATATATCGCGTGCAGCGTACAAACCAAAGAGCCATTGATATACGAGTCTTTTGTATTTGTCTACACATATATAACTACAAGTTAGATCGAGCCATTCTAGTTTTCCACGTAGTACCTAGGCACTAGCATAATAAGTCTCCCTCACCAGCCCACTCGCCAACGATCTCGGGCTCTTCCTACCTGTCCACAATTCGAATTGAACAAACCCTTGCTCTAACAGGACTTCAACACCCGGCACCATCGCCCAGTTGGCACCCGTTGCCTTGGCCAACTTTAGCAATGGTGTTTCAGCAGGTTTGTAAGCCATATCGACGACAACGGCAGGTCCGTCTTTGTATTCGTACAGCTTCGAGGTCAACAAAAGGCCGCGCTCTCCCTCGGTGAGGGTTGTAGCTTGCGCAGGGACCGTTCCCACAATGACGTTTGGCGGTGGTAGTCCTGCAGGCCACTCAGAAACAGCGTCCAGAACGGTGACCCCTGCATAGGACATGGACCGGGCCAGTTCAAGCGCATTAGCTTTCGTACGGTTGAAGAGGTATATGTGCTTCGCGCCCAAGTTGTGTAAAGCGTAGATGGCTGCACGTGCGGTACCCCCTGCACCAATGATGAGCCCCGCTTGGATTGGATCTGTAGGGAGGAAGGATACGATGGATTCACGAATTCCGAGCCAGTCAGTGTTGTCACCGATCAGTTTACGGCCCGATTCTGTTGGCACGGGGATGATGGTGTTGATGGCACCCATGGCCTTGGCGGCTGGCGTCAACTCTGAGAGCAGTGGAATGATTTCGATCTTGTACGGAATCGTCACGGAAGCGCCGC